TGCATCTTGCGAGCCGAATCTTAATAATTGCTCTAATAATGATGATGTATTGGATAGAATAAACAGTTTGAGTGAAAAGTTGGATAACTTTGTTCGTAACTATGAAACCAAGCAAAACATTTTAAAGGGTGTTTTGGATGATATCAAAAAAGAAGTTAGTTCCTGTATTGCTGAGTTAAAGTCAGATATTATATATATTCACTTCAACGGTAAGCTTGAAGTGAATACCACAACAAAATTTGCCGCTCTTGATCATGAAGACAATATATTGCATAGACGGTTAAATCGTTCTGGCATACTGATTGGAGGCCTGCCTGAAGGTTTGGACGACTTGGAAACACCTGTAATAGCTTTCGGGACATTCTACAATATTCCAATTACAAGTGCTGATATAAATCAAGTGTTCTATATTAATCGAAGAAAGCAAATATTGGTGAAATTTAACAAGGTTGTAAAGCGTGATTGTCATATGAGATAGTATTAAAGACTCGCATTTTTAAGGTCTCTGACATATTAAATGGTTTGGGTGGAAATCTGAATGCCCGTGTGTATCTTAATGCTCATTTTTCACCAGCAGCTGCCAATTTTAATTTTATCTGCAAACAAATACGTCGTTTAAACGTTGAAATTTAAAATTTTAAATACCGATAATCTTAATCTTAGATCTGTCTGTTTACTCGATATTTGGTAACAATTGTTACCAAATGTTACTAAATGTTGTCTGTTTACCCAAAAATCCAGCAAAAGGGAGTCAATTGAGAGAGCAAGTTTGACAGCTGAACAACAACAAACTTACTGGAGTTTACTGAAAGAATTTTGTGCAGTAAGATTTTGCAAACTCAGCCATCTTTGGATCAGCTGTTTTATGACCAAACACAAAAATTATTTAAAACATTTTTTTAAATTGCAGAGTTCAATTTGAAGTTAAGTTGCATAAAAATTACAGAAAATGGATAAAAATTCGCAAGTAATTCAAAGATTCATTAGATTAGAAACTAATTCCTTATATATTTTTAGGCAAGTTCCAGATAGAGGGCAATGTACTGATGCAGGGAGCTTAAATGTTCCCGGGGAACATACCAGATAATTTTTTCTTTATTATTCATTTATTTTTTAATATTAAATACAATACAAATAATTGTGTTCGTCCTTTGTTTGTTGCTTATTTTGGCGAACATCAAATGTTTTCTTGAATCAGCTGTTTATTTGCTAAATCTTTCTAAATGTTGTCTGTTTACTTTTTTCAGTATTATCGCAAAAGAGAGCAAGAAAGGCTTACTCTCTGAACTAGAACTTACTGAATAAATGTTATTGGAAAAGTAACCAGACACACCTCTTGTTGTTTGCTGATGGTAGAGATGACACATGTAATGCCAGTCAATGTGCTGCACTACTTCATGATGCTGAAAGAGAGTGATATGCTGCTGTTGTTCACGTATTTATTATATTTAATTATTTTATTAATTTTGAATCTCATTTATGAATTTATCGATCAGCTGTGTTAGAGTTTGATATATTATATTTCTTTTTGTGAAATGTTTAGTTATAATAAAATAGATTTAGTTTCATATATAGGGTTCCCCTCTATATCTACGTTTCTTATTTTTTATGTGTTTTAGCGCAAATCTTGGGCCAGTGATAAGCAAAAACTTTTTCATTAACTCGGTCTTGCAGTCTCATAACTTTAATATTACACATTTAAATTGTCGTAGTATTAGGCCATCAGCAAATACCACTAAATTTCAAGAACTCAAATCAATAATATATGAATCCAAATTTAATATTGTTGCTGTTTCGGAGACGTGGCTTAAGCCAGAAGTTTCAAGCCGTGCAGTTGATATAATTGGGTATACATTTATCAGGAATGATCGTATAGACTCAAGAGGTGGTGGTGTTGGCATGTATATTATGAAATGAATTAGTTATGAAATAGTATTCAAATCTTCGGTGCTGGGAAAATGCGAATCCCTTTTCATTGAATTGGTATCAGGTGATGCAAAGATTTTTTTCTGATTTATTTAACTTAGTTCCTACTGTACGCAGAAAAATTAGATCTGATGACAATTGGATAAATGCAAATCGGATTACTTTAGCCCGATCGCTTCGCGATTTGGCATTCACAGCATACCAACAAAATAAGAATAGCGGCAATTGGAAAGTGTACTGTAAGTTTTGGAAATAAAGCCAAATAAATCATTAGACGTGAGCGCAGAAGATATTTTTCGAAAAAATTTAATTACATGGGTTCTACTGGTTTCTGGTGTTTTCTTAGGGGTGCGGGATGTACGGGTTGTGATGACATAGTTTCCAATTTTGATGTCAATACTTTAAACAGTTCATTTGTATCAAAGAATTTGGCTACTCGTGATTTCGGTGAATCATATAACGTATTTTCTTTTAGTTGTGTTGATATTGATGATGTGGTTATTGCTCTAAATAATATTAAATCTTAATCCATTGGCATTGATGGAATACCTATTGATTTCATAAAACTTATTTTTCCATATATTTCTGATATGATTCTTGATCTGATAAACACAATTTTAACATCGTCGCTGTATCCGACCCTTTGGAAGAAAGCTCGTGTCGTTCCAATTCCCAAAGCCCATATTGTTAATGGTCCAGAAGATCTCAGACCTATTTCTATTTTACCGGTATTGTCGAAAGTGTGTGAGCAAATTGTATAGAGTCAGATTTTGGAACGTTTGAGCGTCCAAATTTCTAAATACCAGTTTGCTTTTCGTAAAAATCATAGTACTGCAAGTTTACTTTATTTGACAGATATGATTAGAAACAATACCAATCGAAATAATAATACTATTGTCGTTTCCTTAGATTTAACTAAAGCGTGTAATACTATTGTACATGAACAATTAATATTAAAGCTTAAAAATGAGTTTAATTTTTCCTTAACTGCTTGTAAGCTTGTTGCATCTTACTTGTCTGGTAGATCACAATTTGTATGTCTTCTATGACTATTCCTGTTACATGTGGTGTACCACAGGGTTCCGTGTTAGGACCGTAGCTTTTCCCATAGCTTTATTTGATAGGAAATATATATATATATGTATATATAATTCTCAGCAGAATGATGTACAATTTTTTATATTTGAAAATAATGATCTTTTTATAATCGCGTGTGTGACAAATTTGACACCGACTACCTATTTAGGGCACTGCTGCTTTGATTTGAAAATAATGATCTTTTTATAATCGCGTGTGTGACAAATTTGACACCGACTACCTATTTAGGGCACTGCTGCTTTGATGAGAAGAGCGAATAAATTCACGGGGAATTGATGTCAGAATAAGGCTGATTATTTAATTTCAATGAATCTTGTCACAGCACACTCTTTCGACCCAAGGTGTTCAATTTGTTGGTTGTACGTTCTGATGTTAATAGGTTATATTGCATAGCGTTTATTATGCGATATAACCTATTTGAATACATGCAGAAGGATTTATTGTAATATATATTAAGTCCATTCCGCCTTCGATCCTCGGCTTTCAGCTTGTTGTTGGTTTTTCTGTTTTCGACTCCTTTTTTAGCTATGAGCAAACCCACGGACATATCGACAAAATGTTTTCGATATCCAGGGCGGTTATACGAAATTGAATAACATCGATCGAAACAACTCGATATCGACTGTCATAATGTGCCCCCAGTTTTTTGATGTAAACGATGGCTTATGCGATTAAAGAATTTTTTCACTAGAAAATTTTCTCCCTAGGGAATATCTAGAATAAAGGACCTATTCATAAATGCAGAACTGTGCTGCATCATATGATTATTATGCAATGCTTTAGCTAATCAGATGTGCATCATGTTTTTATTTGCACATTTCTTTCTTTGAATTTATTTTTTCATTGCATTACCATTTTTGGGATTAGTATTGGCAGTCGTTTGCACATAATAAACTGCTGTATTGCATTTTTGAACATGTAACATTCGCAGTGTTGCCATTGTTTGCATTTTTGAACATAATGCGCATAATATGCAGCGCAGTACTGAATTTATGAACATGCCCAAATGTTCATTTAAATTTATATATACGAAATATAAATTCCATAGGATTTCATTTGACAAACACGCTATGGAATTAATACTTCAAATACATATTAACACATACTTGGGTTGAGTTTTTAGTCGCATACTTTATTTTTTGTATCATTATAATAACATAAAAAATTAAAATACATTTATGTTTTGTGTAGTTAAAAAAAAATCAAAAAGTGTGAATATTTGAAACAAAATTCTTCATTTCCGGAATGAATAGTTCTATTCAACTAATACAATGTGTCGATAATTTGTTTGTTTTGTGATTGTTAATAAGTAGATTTAACATACTAAAAATATATATATTTTAATAAGGAATTTGAATTGTTTGTTATTGTTGTTATAGTAGAAAAATACAATGTTATTCTTCCGTTCGCCTGTGATATCCTTTTCGTTTTACAGATAATAACACAAGGTATACCAGCGCTGTGGAATTTTTAAAGGAGATTATGCATGTGTGTATATTCACTTGACGCGTGTGCTTGTAATGGATCATAAATTGAGTTGATTTCAGAGATATCTTTAGGTTTTCGTTTTGTATGAGAAACATTAGTAGTTAATAATATTACAGTAATAAATAATTATGAATAAATAACAATTTATACATTTACATGTACGTAGGTAAATATGTTTTGCTGCTTACTTGCTTGTAATACACATCGTATACAAACATTTCCCGATGATGAATATGATGATAATGTTCCAGCATGTCAACGTATATGTAGTATATATTTATATATGTACTTATTATTTTAACTTAAGTAGGCTTTAGAGCCTAGATGTCAACGACCTTTGAAGTTGCGTATTTTCTTGATTATGTGTGTATGTATGTATGTCTGTACGTTTCTACATGGGTGTTTGAATGTGTTGCGATTAATTTGTAGTTTCTATTATTGTAAACATACATAGTATAAGTGTTTCTTTTAAATAATTTCAATATTTGTTTTAAAATATGTATTGTATCGAGTTTCATTAACAAACAACATCGAATCTAGCAAGTAATAACATCGTATCTTTGTAGATAACAATTTAAGCTGCCTAAACATTAGAATGGACGCCCGAGCTTCCTGAGCCACCGGTAACATTAGCTGTAACAGGTGCCGATATTGAAGATCCTGTACGAACACATAGGCCAATTTGTGTACCCAAGTTTGTGTTTGATGCTGTTGTTGTTGCTGCAGTCATTGACGGCGGAAATCCCACAACACCGTCATTACCTACCATCGATGTTGAAGCTTCCAGTTGAAGTCTCATTTCTTCTTTGCGCGTTTGTACGGTAAGTAATTCGTCGCTGAGATCATTACAAAGTCGCAATAAAAGATTATTTTGTTCGCGCAAATGCCGCAATACATCAGTCATATTGTTGTTACTTTCCTGTTTGAACGATACATGTCGAAGCGTTTCACTAATTGCATTTACCCTTTTTTCATATAAATCCGAATTGGGAAGAGTTGTAAGTGCTGTGGCTCCAGCTGACCCAAATGGTGGTGGTATCGGAGGGGGCATTTGTGACGCAGCCGCAGAGTTGGTAGCGGCCATAGGTTTTGGGGATTGAGAATTGCGTGGCGTATTTGGCTTACGATACACTTCAAAAGCCGACACTCGTTGATTGGATTGCAGTGAAAACCTTGTTGGAGGTAAAGATACGGCAGCTGGTGGAAGACCACGACCAGTAGTTGACGGTTGTGGTGGCAAGGAATACATTTGTTGTGGATCAGAGTTCTATAGCGGGTGGAAAATAAATCAATTTAATGTACATATATTTCTTAGGGAAAATATCTGATAAAATGTGTTGGGAATAATTTTAGTTGCAACCAAATTGTAGATTAATTCATATGTTTAGATATTGTCACTGGGACCTTATAAATTTTTATGTAGCTTTGAAATAAACACTAGAATATTAAGCACGTATCGTATGTTATTTACCCAATCCCTTGAAATTATATGTTAATGCAATATGAGTTGGGTCACACCAAAAATGTTTTTGACCCTGGTACCACTGAATTAATCTACAATCTTAGCAACGATTCGCCAATTTTGTATTCAATTAAAAAAATTACAAAAGGGTATCAAATTTTCGGAAAGTTAATAAGTTTTAAACGATTTGTAACGAAATTTGCTTCGGGAACTTCTAAGACTTGTACAGAATTTTAGTGTGTATGATCGTAAATATATTGTTTTTGCAAGCGTCGACTTACAACATTTGCAGTTAGATTGTCATCGGGAAATTGTGCAAAATCTGCGAAACCTGTAGATGTTTGCAGGTCAAAACTAGCTTGTGCCATAATCTTCATTTTCGAAATCATAACCATGAAACAGAAAAATGTTTATAATATGAGTTACTATGAAAATATATTCAAAGACTTACCTCTGGCTGGGGTCCACTTGGCGTTCCGATTTTAAACTTATTCAAATCCAAACTGCTGCTTCGTCCGTGCCTGTGAGGACGTGGTGGTGGTAGAGGCGGTGGATCTTTTTTGCTGATTAGCATTGACGTCGACAAAATATTTGCTCCCCCCGACGAGGAACTATTGTCAGCAACATGGGCAGTCATGTTCGATGCTGCAACTGTAGCTACCGTTGCAGGTTCTCGCTGAGGAGGGGGTGGAATAGCGCCAATATTTTTAGGCGGTATTTTTTTAGCTTGCGGACGTTGTATAGCTCTTAAATCACTGTTCTGCAACGAATCACGATGTTGTGAAGTATTGCTCGATGCAAATGCTGATGATTTCGGACTTGATTCTCGCAAAGTATGAACACTGTCCGCCGATGACTCAAGATTATGTTTGTCAATTGCTGAGGCAACGGCAGCATTAGTGGTTACGACGCCACCTACATATATTTGGATTAATATCAAATTTCTTTGGACATACAAAATATTGAGGATAACTAACCGACTGGAGTTACTCTTAATGGCACTGGATGCAAAATTTGTGGATCTGAGACAACAGCCTGTGCAGTGCGTTGCATATCAAAATTAACGGGTTTCGGACCGGGACTAGATACATTTGATGTGGGAGATTCATTAAATTTGGTCCACTGACTTGGCTGTGTGTCCTGCGAAAGAATGCAAATTCTAATTCAAAGGACATACAAATAGAAACAATTTGCCGGACAAATATGTTTACTCCCATATTGTTCATTTGGCAATGAACAAATTCCATTAAATTCATGTAACTTACTGTAGTCGTAACAAGCTGCAAAGGTTCATCATTTCCTACGGTTGTTGACCACAATGAGCTATCTTTACTTGTGCTATAGATTGGCTTCGAACTTGAAATATTAAGTGGAGGTGAAGTCGTAGGCTGCTCCATTTTTGGAGAATTTGAAATACTTCGATTTTTAACAGGTGGCGGCGGTGGTATGGTTGGTGGAGAGAGGGAATGCGGGTTTTTTGTAGTTGTAGTAACATATTGTCGTGAGCTTGCACTCGCCTGCAAAATTGTACATACTTTAATGCTGTTAACTATAATTTTGACTAAAACCCATACCTGTGAAGACGCAGAAAGAGTACTCATGTTCATAACTGCGTTCTCATTCAGGATACGTACACTATTTACAGAATTCCCTGTTAAACTCATCCCAGTGTTCATTCCTACAATGGTATTATCAGTATTGTCTTCCTCGTCTTCATCCAAGTGCAAAAGATCGGCCTCTGCCGGTTCCTGTGTCAACATGTGGTTGGCCAGCGTTGTACGCTGCAAGACAGTTGGATGTAGACACTGCGGTAATGTTGCCGGCAATGGTATATTGTTTCTACGTAGGACAACAAGATGCATCGCAGCTGTAAACTCTGCTAAACTTAAAGCTCCGTCCCGTGTAACATCGCACAGTTGCCAGATATGACGTAACTCTTCAACAGGAATCCGAGATTTCTCGAAAAATACACTGAAAATATTTTAGTTTTATGAAGATTATGTGAAAAGCGATCCATAAAAGTTATTAAGACTAACCGTGCCGCTTGTCCTGACAAGAGTCCCTTGGTATCATGATGTACTGATTTAAATTGATTAAAATAGTATTCACGTTGCTCCGGTGTTATTTGATAGACCGCTTCCAAATCCGTCTCATTATCGTCTTCATCGTCGTCATCACTACTATGTCGATCTGAAGACTCTTCTTCAGTACCCAAAAGTTGACGATGTTCATCGCCTAGTAAACCTTGCCACAAAGTTTCCTTAGCCCATGGCCGTTCAGTGTTTGTAGGTGTAGGAGTAGGACTGTCGCTGTTGGTACTCCATGCTTCTGGGGAACCACCACCACGATGGTGCTAAAATGACACATAAATGAAATGTACGTATGTGGTCAACACGAAATACCAAATTGTTCAAAATTGCAGCATTCTTTAAATTAGCTAGCAAAAATGCATTTCATAAGATTTTACATACAGGTCTAATTGATGACTGTTGGTATACTTAATTGTCCTCCAAAACAAGACAACATGCTTATTTAAGAAAATTTTACATATATATATATATATATATATATACAATTATTCAATTTATACAAACATTTCTGTATGGCTGCTTTTATTTTGTATGTGCCCAAAGGTTCGAAGTTTTTTCCAACCTTCTCGAATGTAAAATGTACTGTATCCCGCCCCCGGCTCTTGTAAATGTTTGCGAACACATAAGAATAATTTCAATGAAAGATAAACTGATTTCTTAGTTATTAAATGTTCAAAATGAGAATATCATTAATAATACTTACTTTAGTAGTTGTTCTGTGTTCTTGAGTCCCTATATCTAAATATAAAACCTGTATAGTTCAGAAATGAAGCAGGTTGCGGTTAGCAATAGGTATAACGAATTTTTGTGCCTAATAATGAAGAAGGCTATGTCAATCCCAATGCATTTACTGTTTTTCTCCCAGAACATAATTAAAATGCCAAAAAATACGTCTCGGACATGTAAAAACGTAGCATTTAGCTCTGGTCCAGAATAAACATACTTTATTGGTTCTCCGACGAGTATTTAGAGTCGAATATATTAAACCTTTAATATAGTCTGTATAATGTATAAATTACCTTTGAATGAATTATGGTTCCCTTAATACCCTCCTCTCCGCCACAACTAGATTCACACTGTTCAACTTCTGAATCAGTACTTTGTAAATCCGAACTTGCAGCACAAGCTTCACTTTTCTGTGGGTGGGTCGTGGATGAGTTCCGCCGTGATCCTAATGGATTGGTATCAGTCCAATCCGTTCGTCGTTGCAATGAATTCCGTCGGTCTGTAACGGGTGGAGGAGGAATTGCATGATGGTGCTGCTGGTGGCTGCTAACTTCCAACTTGCTGCCGTTGTCGTTCCAACTAAAACGAGGTAACGGCAATTGAACAGAAGCAGCTATTAATTCTTGTCGTAATTGCATTGACGCTTGATGAGCAGCAATCAATTTTAGGCAAGAGTAGAATTGCGCTCGTGAAACGTGAATGGCAGTATCTGGAATACCGGCTAGGGATATAATCTATAAAATCCAGTGGAAATAAAACTCATTTAAACTAATTGATTCCGACATAAAAAAACATGTACCTCAAGTATTTTTTCATTAGAAAGATTTGCTGAACGAAACAACTCCGATGCTTTAAGCATCGGTATTTTGCCCGTTTTTTCTTCATCACAGCACAAGAACAAATCACCGTAATAGCGACTTTCAGTTTCCGTCAAAGACACTTCTTCCATTGTGAGGTCTGTATGTTACAGGTGGCAACCGACCGTGATTGGGGTTTGAAAGGATGACTCTAAAAGACAAGTTTCACAATCACTACATTATTTTAATGTTCTGTTTTGCACAAATGCGTGTGCGATGCACACGCACTTACTTGTTTGCTCTCTGCTTTCCTGTATAGCCCGTTTTTGGCTAATACAATAAACCATGTAAAAGTTAGCTAGGCCAACTCAATATTTTTTCCACGGTAATAAAATAAAAAAAAAATTAATTAGAACTAGATTCTATTAGGTTCTGGTCTGGAACGGAGCTAAAATAAAAACGACGACTGAAAAAATTGAAAAACGTTCCACCTGCTAACGAATGGGAGGAGAAGACAAAATTGACGATAAAGATGAACTCAAAATGGTGCAAATTATGATTAGGGATAAGTAAATCGACTTTCGACTAATCGATTAATCGACTTTCTGTATTGAAAAGTGTAAAAAAGTCGAAGTCGACTTGTGATCATGGCCTATAAATGAGGTCACCAAGGGAGACCAGCTGATTATCGATACCTCTCAAGTTTGCTGTCAAAATGCATTATTGTGAATTGACTTCCATTATGAGAACGTAAACAAAGTCGAAATTTTTGACATTAGACTTGAGAAAAAACAGCTGTTTTCCGATTTCGATTGCTATCTTGGTGACCTTATTAATAGATCTTGCTTGTGATCTTTGAGGAAATCGCAGTCGACTTTTCAAGATCGACTTTCGATTTTCATACTTGGTCCTTTTGGTGCTGATCACAAACACATAATACCGGAGGTTTAAAACTTTCACCTATGGACATGTGGAACATTGGGCGACGCGAGCAGAATTTTCTTATAATTTGAAAATTTTTCGGAGTAGTCGTCTTTCGGCTGGAAATTTCATATACATACCTCTGTTGAACCAGAGTTATCGAAAATACAACAACCACAAGCAAACTATAACACAAACGATCGAAGTTGACGTGTGCTGCGCTTTGGAGTTAAATATATTTAAACTTTTTGCGTGCGTTAACGCGATAACAAAAAACGCTCAACGCGATCATTCTGTTTAGCCCTTAAAAGTCGAAAATTTATCAAAAATTGATTTTGCGGGGTTTTACAATGTTGGTGATTGAGATTTTTTCTCTCTCATTGGTAAATTGATAGTAATTAGAGTTGCGCTATTTTTAATTTTTTAACAAGCGTACTTTTTGTTCACAAAAGGTACGAATTTACATAAACGTGCCAAAACAAAAAGTAGATATTTTTATTATTCGTGAATACATTTATTTAAATTATAACATATATTATTTACGCAAATGATTGGTATAAATATTGGCAAATATATCTCGGTAATTATGATTTATTATCATTTCAAATAAAATTTTAGGTACCTTTCGTACTTTTTTATTCCTACCTGTGTCAATGTTTTCCAACTCTATTCCCAATTTACCAATGAGAGAGAGAAAAAACTCTCATGACCAATACCAATCACCAACAGTGTAAAACCCCGCTTTGAGGAGGTTTGACAAAATCGAAAAGTCAACTTTTTAGTCAGAGGCAAAAATCGAAATGTCTGAAAGTCGACTTTTACTCTCGACTACGTATCCCTACTCCTTTCGACCAGAGTATGAGGTCGTCTAGTCGTGGAAAAAATATTGTTACGAAAATAACTTTAGATTTAAGATTAATTTAGATGAATTCCGTTAATTTAAGAATTTGAATTGTAACGTAAATTTCTACTACGCAGTTTATTCGAATAACTTCACAACAACAACTACTGTATAGATTTTTCTACATCCTTCCATTTCCTCTTCCATTTTCTATTTTGTTATTGTCGTACAATTCTTGTTAAACGTCATCATTGATGATCGCTTAATTCCTCTTTCTTTGTTACCCCCTCGCCTGTATATGTGTTGTTGTTATTGTTTACTCAATGTAAGTTTGTATGTGTTGTTGTTATTGTTTACTCAATGAAAGTTTGTATGTGTTGTTGCTATTGTTCACTCAATGTAAGTTTGTATGTGTGTTGCATTGGTAGATTGTTCGTGATCTAGGTGTTACCAGATCGTCTAGAAACTTCTGTAGCGACAAGCAAGGCTCATATAAATAGGGGAAATGGAAAGGCAGTTAGTCAGTTGTGAATCAGATCGCGAATTGAAACCGTCGAGTAAAGTAAAGTGCAAAGTAAAGTTGTGTGAATAAAATCATTGTAATAATCGTAATCCGAAAGAACCCGCGTTTTATTTGGTACGAACTGTATCGGGAAATAAAACAACGTCTGCACGGGATTAAGTAAAATCCAAGAACGTAACAATTGGTGTCGGAAGTGAGATTACGATAATACTACGATGAAGTTTAAGGATCTACGAGTGGAAGACTTGAAGAAGGAGCTGAATAAATTGGAATTGTCCTCTACTGGCAACAAGGCTGAACTCCAAAAACGTCTGTTGGATGAGTTCGAGCGCCGTGGTATGAACATCAATACATATGAGTTTGACAGTAAGGATGAAGTGGATTTATCGGAAATGGGCGAATCCAACGGTGGGGAAGTCTCGTCAGTAGCTGCCAGGGGTGACGATTTCAGAGAAATGCTGGCTAAAATGTTCGAAGAGAATTCCAGAAACACGAGACGAATGTTCGAAGAGAATTCCAGAAAGTCAGAAGAAAACTCGAGACGAATGTTCGAAGAGAATTCCAGAAAGTTAGATGAACTCAAGGCGGAGAATTGTAGAATGTTTGACGAAAATTCGAGAATAATGAACGAGAAACTCGAGAAAATTACAGAAGTTATTGGAAGGAGAGTGGAAACCGCGGAGGTCCAAATTAAAGAGTTGGATAAGAAAGTGCAGTCGGTCGACGAGAAGATTCTGTCTGTGGATGAGAAATTTCTGGCCCACGACCACAGGTTTACGAATCTGGAGAAGAAAATGTCGGAACTGGAAATCAAAGGTGGTCCGGTGCGAGTTCCTGATAACACGCTAAAAATCAAACCTCCTGTATTCGACGGCTCTACGTCATTCAATGTCGAGACAGTGGCTTCTAGAAATTCGTGGAACGACAGCGACAAAGCGGTTGCACTACTTCTGGCATTGAAGGGCAGTGCTGCTGATGTTATACAGAGTATTCCTGTCGCTTCTAGGAACAACTATGAAGATGTTATTGCTGCACTGGAACGTAAGTACGGTGGCGAACATAAACAAAACATCTACCTTATGGAATTAAGGGGAAGAGTACAGAGGGCGAACGAGACGTTACAAGACTTTGCAGCTGAGGTGGAACGTTTGGTGCTAATGGCGTATCCAGGAGAGAATCACCCATTGGTGGACCGTATGAAAATCGAAACCTTTGTGAATGGCATACGTGACCCTGAGATTAAATGTGCAACATATGCGTCACCAAAAACGTCATTTGCCGAAACCGTGTCGTTTGCCCTTGCCCAAGAGACGGCAAGAATAATTGTTAAGCCCCAGACCCACAATATTCGCCAACTGGAGACCGAATGTTGCGAACCCAAATCTCTCGTTAACTTGATCGAGGACGCCATGAGGCGGGTAATAAAAGAAGCAAAGTTAGTAAGGATGACTAAGTCCAGGGTTAGATGCTACAACTGCGATAAAGCAGGTCATATTGCGCGCGAATGCAGAGCTAAGTGCAAACGATCCAGGTCATCGTCACCACCTCCAACGAAAGATGGTAGAAGAGCGGCTCAACAGTCCACCAATGAGTCACCGTTAAACAGAATCGAGCACAGAAAAGGCGGAAAACACGGTGATGCTGATCCCCTGTCTCGTCGGCCATGCAAGGTAGAAGGCAGGCATTGCTCAAAGGCTGACAGTAAAGAGAATATAGTTGATGTCCGACTATTGCAGTTTGAGTCAGGTGAAGATTGGTCGACGGAACAACGAAGAGATCCCATTCTGGGCAAAATAATTTCGGCCATAGAAACGGGCAAGCGACCTAGTCGCAAAGAAATTACCTCCGAAAGCCCTCTTTTAAAATCCTATTGGGCCCAGTGGGACAGTCTGCTTATAAAAGATGGTTGCCTATATCGCAAATGGGAAAGTGAGGACGGTAAATCTCACCGGAATTTGATCGTCGTCCCAGACTCCAAAATAAGAGATGTCTTGCCGGAGTTTCACGATAGGCCAAGTGGAGGACATCTTGGCATAGCAAAGACGGCTGAAAAGGTAAAGCAGAGATTCTACTGGGTCGGCTGTCAAAAATCCATTGCCGACTGGATCGCCAATTGTGAAAGGTGCATAAGAGCTAAAGGTCCAATACGGAAGAGTCGAGTCTACATGCAGCAGTATAATTCAGGAGCCCCTTTTGAAAGAATCGCAATGGATGTAGCTGGACCGTTCCCCACAAGCGACTCTGGGAACCGGTATGTCTTAGTGGTCATGGATTACTTCAGTAAATGGCCAGAGGTTTATGCTATCCCAAATCAAGAAGCCAGGACAATTGTGGATGTGTTCAGCAAAAATTGGATTTGTCGCTATGGTGTTCCATCGGAGGTTCATTCCGATCAAGGTAGGAACTTTGAATCAGCGATCTTCAAGGAAATGTGTGACTCCTACGGAATCAAGAAAACCAGAACGACGCCTCTACATCCACAATCAGATGGCATGGTGGAAAGATTCAATCGTACCCTGGAAGAACATCTACGGAAAGTGGTGGACAGTGGCCAACGAGACTGGGATGAGCATATTCCAAAGTTTTTACTGGCTTATAGATCGGCCATTCATGATTCCACATCCCGGACCACAGCCAAAGTTCTGTTCGGAAATGAATTAAAGCTACCTGGGGATTTGATATTCGGTGCTACCCCAAACGACGATGTGAACCAAGAAGAAGACAGTCAGAACTCTTTTAGTAAAATCCACGATGCAGTTCGCCATCGAATAAAAATGGTTAGCAACCGCATAAAGGCAAGGTACGATCGAGCGGCAAATACCGATGGGTTTCAAGAAGGGCAACTGGTACTATTGTTCAATCCACAACGAAAAAAAGGACTATGCCCCAAATTGCAAACGCACTGGGAAGGACCCTACAAGATTGTCACGAAAATAAATGACGTCGT